TTTGTTTTTGAGACAGAGTCTTGCTCTGTCCCTCAGGCTGGAGTGCAGTGGCGCAATCTCAGCTCACTACAGCCTCCGCCTCTGGGTTCAAGAGATTCTCCTGCCTCGGCCTCTTGAGTAATTGGGACTACAGGCGTGCACTACCACACCCAGCTAATTTTTATATATTTTTAGTAGAGACGGGGTTTTACTGTGTTGGCCAGGATGGTCTCAATCTCTTGACATCATGATCCACCTGCCTCAGCCTCCCAAAGTGCTGGGATTATAGGTGTGAGCCACCGTGCCCGGCCTGCTTTTTCATTTTAAGAGCTTATGATGGGCACTGTCTTTCCTGGCATAATACCTGCTGCCCTTGGAATAATTCCAAGCTCGACTTCTTGCTGTTGTCTGGCGATGCCCTCAGAGACGTGTGGCATGCAGGAGGGCTTGCTTGCAGCACCGCACGGCCCTGGGCAGGTGGTTCCTGTCTTTATCTTTCTTTGCATCAGTCGTAGATGCTGCGGTGGCTGCTCCCAAACCACAGGTTGCTGTAAGTTAGACCTGAAGGTTAGGCAGGAGCATGTCCCCATGCACAGGCTTAACTCAAGCGCCAAGTCAGTGAGATCACAGCTCCCTGAGTGAAGTGTGTGGGCTTTGTCATCATCCCCTGGTGCGTTGCTTAAAGAGCTTACCTCCGTAGTCACAACTGTGTCCCCAGAGGCTGATGCCACATACATAATACTGAGGATGAGACATTTTACTGCTGAAGTGGAACTGTCATGTGCTTTGAGGTCTTTGATTTAAATGGATTGAAACCACAAGGGCCCCCTTCCTGTTGTGCCCACCCACTGCCCAGTGTGTTGGCAGGCCTTGTGGATGAATTTCATGAGGAGCATGCCCTGCTCAGGGACAGCAGAGCCACCCAGAAATTGCATGCCGTGCAGAGCAGCATGCCTGCTGGCCATTGCAGGGACTTCTTTGGAGATCCCAGCAGGGCATGTGGAGGGGTCTTCCACAGTCTCCCCATCACTGAGAGTTGCCAGTGTCCATTTCTGGGCTTGGCATCCCACAGCCCCTGTTTCTAGCCTGGTTGAGCTGTCTCCAGGCCCTGCCCCTGCCCTGGGCTCATTCAGCTATGGTCAGCCCAGGTCTGGTCTTTTGCCCTACCTATCTGTTTATCCTCAGTGGCCAGCACAGCTCCTGGCTCAGAGAGAGGGCTCAGTAAACGTCGGTGAATTGAACAGAGTCCAGCTCAGCAACGCCATGGGCGTCTTTTCCGCTGACGCACGTTCCTACTTGGACTCAGTTGTACTTTCTCTGCATCCTCCTTCCCTCCCAGCCTCCCCACCGCACTCCCAACTGGGCCCCATTTCCTCCTCTCTTCTGGTGGCTCCAGAACACTGAAGGCTTTTCCCTGATGGGCTGTTTGTTCCCTGTTGAAAGTGCTTTGGTTTTCATCTCAGTTGCACTTTCAGGCCAGCTGTACCCACGCTGATATGTGACTTTGATCCCTGCAGCAGGACGATGACGCCCCGAAGAAGCAGGCCTTGTACCTTATGTTCGATACCTCTCAGGAGAGCCCTGTCAAGTCACCTCCCGTCCACATGTCAGAGTCCCCGACGCCGTGTTCAGGGTACGACTTCCATCATGATGACAGAGTTACAAATCGCACTGGATGCTCCAAAGCCTCTGAACGCCTTTATGCTGTTATTTCAACTTCATTTCAGTGCATAGATTCAGGCTGTCAGTGCTCCATATGTGTGTGTGTGTGTGTGTGTGTGTGTGTGTGTGTGTGTATTTACTTTTTGCTTTTTTTTTTTTAAAATAGAGACAGGGTCTCACTGTGTTGCCCAGGCTGGTTTCAAACTCCTGGGCTCAAGTGCTTCTCCCTCCTCAGCCTCCCAAAGTGCTGGAATTACAGGCATGAGCCATGGTGCCTGGCCAGCCCACACTTCAGTCTCGTGAATCTCCACAGGGACATAAATGCATTGGTTTTATTACTGGCTGCCCTTTGGACTAAAGTGAAGTCCTTCAATAGCTGAGTGTGTGACTCACCCGTATAATCTCGCCCAGTGTGCACACACTTTATTCCATCATTTGTCTAAAGGGGGACACTGTGGCCCAGCATTCAGAGCCTGAATCCCACCTGTACCCTCTCCTGGTTATGTGACCTGATGGGAGGTACTTGGCTCTCCTGTGCCTTGGTTTCCTTGCATGTAAAGTAAAAGTAATAATGAAACGGACCTCGCAGGGAGTTTGTGAAGATTAAAGGAGCCTCCCCAACCTGCGCAACGGGGAGAGGGCACCTGCCTTCCAGAGAGATGCCGTGTGTAAAGCTCTTGTTGAAGTACCTGGCACATATCAAGTGCCTGGGTACATTGTTGATGTGGATGTTCATGTTTGTATTCATCAAGGCTAATGTTTGGAGCCGTGCATTGTTTCATCAAGTAAGTGTGGGCATTGCTGTAAGATTTGGACCAGCCTATCTGTCTGCCTCCCTCTTTAAGCAGGAGGAGTGAAAGCTCTTGTACTGACTTCTCAAACTTACAAAAGAGACTGCAAGCTGCCCAGGGTGGTGAGAAAAATGATGATGGTGGTGACGTTATTAAAACGGTAGCGGCACCAGTACTGCATTAAGTGCTTTACAGCAATGCAGAGTCTCATTTAATCTTCACAGAGAGACCTATTGTCACCATCTTACAGAGGAGGAAATGGAGGCATGGTACCCATCACTTCCCCCGAGTCCACAACCAAGCAGCTGGTAGTCCTGACTCCAGAACTCGGGTCTACGGCTAGTGGCATCTGTGCTCCTGCCTCTCCCTTGTCACTTGGCCCTGGGGTGACTGACCAGCTAGAGGCTGCATGGCCAGTGGAGACCTGGCCCATATCCCTCTGGAAGTCCAGGACTCCTTGTGGTATTAACTTTGTCAGGGCATCCTGGTTGATTTCAGTGGATTTCCCTATGAGAAGACTCTAAAGATGCCCTTTGCTTCCCCCAGGTCAAGTTTTGAAGAGACTGAAGCCCTTGTGAACGCTGCTACCAAAACCCAGCATCCTGTCCCACGAGGGCTGGCCCCTAACCAAGAGCCACACTTGCAGGGGCCAGAAAAATCCTCCCAGAAGGAGCTGGAGGCCATGGCCTTGGGCACCCCTTCAGAGGCAATTGAAATTGTAAGTGGGGTTGGAGGGCCCCAGATCACAGGGGATGGGGTGTGGGCCAGCTGTGTATTGTCACCAAGAAGGCCAGGCCTTCAGAGCAACACTCACCTGGCACCTGCCATGGGTCCCACCCTGACTCCCTGACCACAGAAGCCAACCTGGGAGATCCCATACCATGAGGATGCGGGGGAGGTTCTGTGTTCACACCTATGTGGTTTTGTATTTCTTACTTAAGTACTTTATATGCCTTCAGTGTTATTTATTTTCCATATTTTGCCCCTTAGGACCTGACTGTTGCTTTGGAGCAGTTGCTAAGCAGTCCTCTGCCACTTCATTCTTGATGGCAGAGGGCAGGGGACGCTTCTTTTGGGAAACAGTTAGTTTTCCTGGGACTCAGTGATGGGAATGTCTCCTGTTTAAAGACCAGGACTTTTCCTCTCCCCAAGCCCTGCTGGGGTCTTGCAAAGCAAATAGAACTGAGCTGAAGGCCTCACCTACCCCCAGTCCCTGCACTGCACATGTATCACATGGCCTTGTGCATGCCCCAAAGTAAGTGATGCCCATGCCAGGCTCTTCCACACATCTGGAATGCACCATCCTTCTAGGTGAATTTTATTTTTACTTCCTCTACCTCCCGCCCAGCAATCCCCAAGCAGGTGTGAAGCCCTTGATTTAGTGTGTTATTTTTGTTGTTCTGTGTTAGTAGGCCATTTCTCTCATGCATCAAATGTCTATTGAGCACCTACTGTGTGTCTGGCAGTTGGATGCTGGGGTGGATACTAAAAAGAGGATCTAATTGTGAATCAGTCTCTCACGTTAATACTCTGAAACACACATCCATGGTTCACTTTCTACAAAGCTGGCTTCTGATTCTGAGGTCTTTCTGATCTATCAGAAGACACTTTTTCACTTGAAATCATCTTTCCATGATTTAGAAAATGACCTTTACTAAAACCTGACTTTTTTGGATATGTGTAAATACTTGAAGGTATTTCTTGATGAGTTATGTTTGGACAGCCCACCAACTAACTGGCCTTTCGCCTTCCACTAGCTAGCTCCCATTCATCAACCAGGGAGTGAGGGTGGCGTGGGGGTGGGAGGACACGGAAGTCTGCGCTGTGGGGAGGGGGTTGGGTCTGCCAATCTTAAGATGTCCATTGTCAGCATGTGGGAATTAGTCCAGATGGAGCCACAAGTAATGGCAGCTAATTGATACTCTCTTTAGCCTCAAGGCAGAAATGTCCAGCAAATGGCAGCATGGGCCTTGCTTGGAATCAATATCACTCTTTGTTCTCCTCTATTTTTCTTGTGTGTCCTCCTCTCTGCCGGTGTTCAGACCTCTCCCGAGGGCTCCTTTGCCTCTGCTGACGCCCTCCTCAGCAGGCTAGCTCACCCCGGCTCTCTCTGTGGTGCACTTGACTATCTGGAGCCCGACTTAGCAGAAAAGAACCCCCCACTATTCGCTCAGAAACTTCAGGTTTGTAGCCCACGTGTGACCTTTCGGGAGTTTGTCAAAACCTCAGTAGAGAATGAACCCCCGAGGCCCAAATGAAATGAGGCAGGATTTGATGAGGAACTGCTGAGAATGTTCCCAGTGACCTATCTTCCCTTTAAAGAATGGTATATGTGACATTCTTTACCCAGGATACCAAAGTGATACAAATTGTGTGATTACATATTGAACAAACCATTTCCATTTCAATTTGGAAACTGGGCCCAAATCGTCATTTTTTAGAAGCACTGATGGCCCCAAAAGCAATTTCTGTGATTTATTCACTGAACCAAGAATATCAGATCACCACTGAGCCAAGCTGTTTATGTACACGTGGCTATCTCAGACTCCCATTGAGATAACATCTGGGCTCAGTCTTGCATCTGGAACAAAAAACAATGATGTACTCTGTGCTTTAAATTTGACAACTTAATTTGATATCCTCTAGACTAGGATGTTCAGAGCAAACCTAGAGAGACTGTTAACAGCCATCTGAGAGGCGCAGATCCATTCATGGAGACTGTTGGCCAACTTCCCCTTAAGAAAGAAAAAGGGAAAGAAATCAAAAGAAAAACGTCCAGTACAAATTTTGATCCCATTTTGAAAATCATTTCATATTCAACTGCACAATACTCCCCAACAGACATTCAAAAGGGTGATTTTTTAAAAAAGGAAATTAAATGCTTATTTCATGATCTGCTGAGGTGTTAATTGTGAGAGAAAGGCAGAGCGTGTGTTTTTCCCGAGTGCCTGTCTTGACACATTTTCATGGCACGTTCATTTCTCGGATGTGGAAACCATTGACGTCTGTCTTGATGCATTCCCTGCGGTTTGCCCACACCCCTGTGGGCAGGAAGAGTTAGAGTTTGCCATCATGCGGATAGAAGCTCTGAAGCTGGCCAGGCAGATTGCTTTGGCTTCCCGCAGCCACCAGGATGCCAAGGTACCGGTTTGCTGCCGCGTGCGCCACCTCCTGAGAATGTCGTGTGCCGCTGGGGTCCAGAAGCTGCTTTGCTAACCATCCGCCAGGCGGGCATCGTCGGTGTCCAGCAAAGGGTCGTTTCCAAAAAGCTGAAAGCATCACTTTTGTATAAACACACTGAGCACGTAGCTAAGATCTGTTTAACTCAATAATGCTAAACCAGTGGGATGGTAATGCTGGTTAAATGGAGGGTAATAGAGAGACCAACGTATAGGTCAGCGGGGTGAAGAAGGATACCCTAAGATGGCAAAGTTGGATAGAAAGCTGGTTAGCACCGATTCAACAGAGCAAAAAAATTATGACCTTTGAGGGTTGTTTTTCTACAGATGGCCATTTGCTTCTCTATTGAACAAAAATAATTTGCAACTTTTCTATTTTCTGGAAGTTAACATATAACTTTGCTGAGATGAGACCCTAATCAGTAATACCTAGTAAGTGAAACCAAGGCATTTGATGATACCCTAGACCAGGCCTACACAATCCTTTCTGTAAAGTGCAGATAAGTATTTCCACCCTTGTGGGCCATACTGTCTGGCACTGTTCCAATAAAACTTTACCTATCTATTTGTTTTTGCTTTTTTACAAAAAAGGGCAGTGGGCCATTTGGCCCACGGAGTTTCCCCAATTCCTGGTTTCAGCATGGAGTATAACATTGACAGGGCATGCAGAAATCTTTTTGCCTGGCTTCCAAGTTTGGGGTAACTTTTCTAACAACTTAAATGAGCTGCTGATGACATGCAGAACGTGTGTTTGCCCCTGGACTGTCCGTGCAAACCTTGATCTCTGAGGGTGGCGTCATTCCCACCCCTCACCCCACCTGGAGTGGGACAGACCGATGAACCTGGTGTGTCAGATTGTGCTCCGTGGCTTTGAACAAGCAGGTAAACGTCTCTGGGCCTTAGTTTTGCCATTCATGAGATGGGGCTGATAATAGCCAGTTTACAGGTGGCTATGAGGATGACAGACAGCTGGTGTGCAGAGAGTGGCGCCCTGCTTGACACATAGTAGGTGTTTGATAAAAGAAGGCACTGCGTCAGCTAAGACTTCCCTTTTGCCTCTGTTACTGGATCAGGTGCTCTCAGCATCTCTCCTTGGTAGGTGGATCCGGGTCCCATTTTACAGATGGGGACATGGAGCCACTTGACAGTGATCCACCAGCCTGTTGGGGAGTAGAACTCAGGATTCCAAGCGAGAGGCCCCTAGCTGGGTGTGGTGGTGCACACCTGTGGTTCTAGCTACTCAGGAGGCTGAGGTGGGAGGATTGCTTGAGCCCATGAGTTCAAGGTTACAGTGAGCCATGATCACGTCATTGCACTCCAGCCAGGGTGACAGAGTGACCCCCTAACTTTAAAAACAAATGTAAAAATGGGAGCCCCTGGCCTGCCTGCCTCGAGTAACAGCTCATCTGCAGAGGGGGGCAGTGGCATCTGTGTCTGTCATCCTTGGGACAGGACTAGGAGTCCGGCTGCTGCTCTGGCCCTGAGGGCCCCTAGTGTGATCTCCTTGGCCATACCCAAAAGAGAGGCCCCTCCCAGAGGCAGGAGGTGGTTACACTGTGGGTGTACAAGCTGGGAACAGTGAGACCCAGGGCAGGGACAAGAATACAAATACAGATTGGGGATGTCCTCATTCTTGTTGCCAAACCATAAGCTTAGGTTGAACTTCCATGAAAGCAAGATTTTTAGAGAGCATGAAGCAGTGAGGATCCCCCAGCCCCACCACTAGATTTATTTCTAGATATTCTTGGGGCTTAAAGACAGAATGAATTGTGTGCAGTTTGGCCACTACAAGTACCGTGTATTCCTGTCCAGAGTTTGAGGTGGAATTGAGCATGTTTGGTGAATAGCTCAGGGTGGAGTTGGAGTGTGCTGGGTGCCCTGGTCCCCCCACTGCCTCCTTGGGAGAGCAGCCAGAGAAAACTCTTGGCAAATAATGGCCAGGAGTTGACTTTTTGTCAATTACAGGCTCTTCTCAGAATATGTGCCGGATTCTGAGTTAGAAAATAGTGTCGTGTGTGTTCATAGCGTGTGAGTCGCAGAGGCAGCCCAAGCCACCTCTTTTGTTTCAGAAGTGTATGCTCAAAGGAACATTCATTCTTTGAGGGTAGAACTGTCTCTGGGTAAATAGGGAGCGTTTTTCTCTAACAGAGTAACTTGTACTGCTTTTGTGAAAAGCACATTACGTGCTGATGTTGGCCTGTGGAAAATAGATGCTGTCCCTGTAGCTACCCAGCCCAAGGGTGGTCCAGGAGCCTGACCTCAAGTTGGTCCCTGTTGGTTTTTTTTACAAATAGAAAGATTGTCCCTCGCTGTATTGGATGGAAACTGCTGATGCATAGGAAGAGAAAACAGCAGCTGTGTATCCCATTTGCCTTTTTTTCTGGCCATATATTTCAGCTGTAGGTGACACAGTTCCGTCATTTTGCCAACATGGTCTTAAGCTGTTGCTAACACAAAGATGAAATCACTTGGAATGAAAAATATCATATTGCATGGGTGAAAATCACCGTGAGATAGAGTGGGGAGTGATTTTCTGGCTGTTCCCTAGAGCAGCTTTGACTTCCATTTGTCTTTAGACCGATGGAGAGCTGAGTCAGCCCTGGAGGAGCTGCTGTGGGGGTTTCTCCATCTCAGTTAGAAAATGTGAGAAATGAGGAAAAGTCCTTAGGGACTGGGGTGTCAGGCTGCGGTCTTACCATTATTTTTCTTCTACATCTTCTGGCCAAATGGAATTCGGCTGTGTCCTCCTGGGGGCAAACCTGACCAAGGTCCCTGGAAATGTGGTGCAGCAGCCCTGAATTGAACACTCAGCCACGTCAGACGGAACGTGAGTGTCGTGTCTGAGTGGCTCTCCAAGAGGTGCAAGCTATGGGCCTTTCTGGATGAGGGGGACCCAATATGAAGACTGAAGGATATGGCTGGGTTGCTTAGGAACAAAGCACACAAATAACAAGATTCAGGAAGGGGTGAGTCCTGGCAAGAGGCCCCCAGGGTGGGTGAGTGGTGTGGCCCTTCAGTCCAGGCCTAGAAAAGGCCAATGCCTGGAACTTCCATGAGCAGGAGAAGGAGTTGGGGCAACCCGTGTTGTCATAGAGCAGCCTGGCACCACGTCCCATGTTCCCCTCTCTATTGCTGTGTCACAGACTATCCCCCCATACGTACACATTAAACCGAGGTTCAAAAGGAGGGAGATGTGATGCCCAAAAGCCACAAGAACAGCCTGAGAAGAGTGACAAGGACCGGCTCGTGAGCACCCGTGTATTTGGCTCTTTGGAGCATCTGTGGTTATTGCTTAGAGGCTATATCTTGACTCAATGGACAGGAGCAGCTGGCTGGTGCCAGTGGTGGGAGTGGCATAAGGCATGATGCTCAGTGTCACCCCAAGATTGCCACTCCTCCTGGGCTTGGGGACTGCCTGTGGTCAGAATTGGATGGGGCAGCACCCGGCGGAGGCCACTTTCCTGCTTGGGAGGCAGCACATGACCTGGACACCCTCTGAGTGCCAGGCCTGTGTCTATGCACCATGCCCTTGACCCAGGTGGCTGTCATCTCCCTTGCTCATCCTGACTCCTGGTCCTACCCCTCCGTGGCCCCTCTGGCATGGCTCTCCCATCCTCAGATGTGCAGATGCTCTCTCCAGAATTTCCTTCTGTCTGCTCCAGGGGACAGGGATCCTGCACCAGTGCTAGCCCCTCCCCCCCATGTCTGCCAGCAGGGAACTGTCCACAGGGGCCCTTGAGCCAGGGTGAGTACTAGAACCCCACCCGTGGCTGCCAGCAGGAAGGACCCAGGCACAACCTGCAGGTGTGAAGCGGTGACAGTGGCCAGAGGTTCTCACAGGTCGCAGGACTTGAGTGGAATTAAGGTTGAAAATTGGTTGCAAAGGCCCGTGCCTTCTGCGGCACAGCCATTTTACATTTCCATTTGTGATTCTAGTGCCTTTTTTGGCCCCTCTAAAATAGCAAGTAGGGGTTACATGAGAGAAACAAAGTTTAATCGAAAAATATCTGATCTTAAAATATCAGTGACAGACAAAGCTATTAATTTCAGTTAAAAACAATTCTTGGTCGTAAGGAGAAACCAGAGTGTACACAATGAATTTCATCAACACGCAGATACTTGGGCAGTAATTCAAGAGGGCTCTGAAGTTATCTGTTCCTTTATTGAAAACACCAGGTGGCTGGGATGAAGGGGGTCAGTGAACAGTCTACAGGGTAGTGTCCGTTTGCATTTTCTTACAAGACTCACTATTTTATTGATTTTTTTTCATTCCCTTTCTTGTTTTACAAAGGATTTTAAGCAGCATGAAGATTATTAATTCCTTCATCAGTCATATTTAGTTTCTGCCCAGTATGATAAAGTTAGTTTTAATGAAATCAATTTTCTCCTGCACTGCAGGGAGCCTGCTTACTTTGGTCAACATTGAATCTCATTCTGGGAAACCCTCTGGCCCGGTCTCTGAGATTCTCCATTTTTTCATCTTTAGAAGGTCCACGCTGAGTTTGATGGTGACTGATGTTGCTCATTAAAAAAAAACTCACACACAAAAAACACATACTTGTTGACTTTAAGAGTGATGGGAACAGTTTTTGTTTTTCCTTTTAAAATCCTTTGCCTATTTTTTTTATTTAAAGACAGAGTCTCACTCTGTCACCCAGGCTGGAGCAATCTCAGCTCACTGCAATCTTTGCCTCCTGGGCTTTAAGTGATTTTCATGCCTCCGCCTCCCGAGTAGCTGGGATTACAGGCAGGGATCACCACGCACGGGTAATTTTTATATTTTTAGTAGAGACAGGGTTTTGCCATTGACCAGGCTGCTCTTGAACTCCTGACTTCAAGTGATCCACCTGGCTTCGCCTCCCAAAGTGTTCAGATTACAGGTATGAGCCACTGCATCCATCCCCCCAATATTTTTTATTAAATGTTTTTACAGAGATGGGGTCTCACAGTGTTACCCAGCCTGTTCTCAAACTCCTGAGCTCAAAGGGTCCTCACACCTCAGCCTCCCAAAGTGTTGGGATTATAGGTGTGAGCCACCACACTCCATAAAATTCCTTCGGAATTGTATGTTTATGAACTTTCTCCATAAAGACAAATGTTGAGTCTTGATCTCTGTGTAATTTTCCAACTACTTCCTTAGAAGTTCCCCCATGACAAGCAGAACTGTGAAAACCACTCTCAAACAGTAGAGGTGGACCCCTGCACGTGAGAGGCTCTGGCCCCATGGCCTGGTGGTGCCCTTGCTTCTGGGAGGTCAGCCTGCCTCTGCTGAGAGCTGTTAATGTATATTCTGGTCAAGTGTCCTTGAAACAGAGGCTTCTTGGGAGCCTGAGCCTGCCCTGTTCTCACATGAGCGAGTCTCTGGCATCTGGTTGAAGGGGACTGTGCACTCCCATCTCTGGCCAGTGGATCATCTGTGTCCTGCTTCAGGGCTACCCCAAGTATGCCAGGCCAGGCAGGCGCCATGAAATCTAGGCAACAGGCCTTCTCTTCCAGGACAACCGAAACGATGTAATTTCACCCTGCATGTCTACAGCTAACTAACTGGTCCTAACTCGGTCATCTCCGGTCCTATCCATTAAGCTTCTCCTTGAGTTTTCTAAGCTGCCTACCTTCTCGGGTTCATTTCCCTGATGCCGTCGTAGGGTAGACATGCCTGTTCTTGTGGTGGAAGAGACCAATTCTGTACGAGTACCTTGAGGCCCACTGCCTTCCCAGTTACTGTTGGCTCTTTAATCTTACCAGCTGTCCTTGATAAGCCCTCATAACTCTTTCCCCAAATCTCCCTCTCTCTACATTGTGATGGCCTTTCACCATTCAGTTTCCTACCATAATTCCCCAAGGGAAGAAGTTGTCCTGTTCTGCCTGTTACAGCACTCGAAGATCAATAACTAGGGAGGAGCTTCGCCTGGGCAGCCATGGCAGCGCTCCGAGGTTAATGCATAGGACTGAGAGTGTGGTTGGTTTGATGTTTCATTCGCAGTAGAGGTAGACTGACAACCCGGCTGTGCTGGTCGAGGATGCTGCTAACACTGCATTTCAACTGTGTTGCAAATTGCGGAGCATTTTGTGCAAAGGGAGAAAGAATAACCACAGACTCCCCCTCACCTCTGGGAGGCTAGCATCTGCCCTCCACAAAAGGTCGTAAAGCCTCAAATCAGTACTGGTTGGATGGGTTGGTGTGGTGGATCACGCCACTTGTTCAGGGTCTCATCAGCAAATGTGGATATTGTCATTGACCCAGTTTTTAATTTTCCCATTGACGTAACAGATTTCAGGGCAACAGAATGCCAACATAACTCTCACATCCAGAAACTCTACCCAGCCAAAGGCGATACTGGCTGATGATATAGTAGGCCTTAAGCTTTGTGTGACTCAGCATCCTTTCAAATGGAGCTCAGCAAATACCCCCAAAATTGAAATGTAAACAGTCTTACCAAAGTGATCAAATCTGTGGTTATTCAAAACTAGGCAAACGTAGACTAGAATTCAACATTATTCGCCATTGAGATCTTATTTTGGAAGTGGAGCCTGCTGAATAGCACACTGGGTTCTCAGGCGCTGTGCCTAAGTGGCTCAGCGTGTGATAAATGGCAGAGATAAGCAGGTACCAGACACACTGGACTCCAAGGCCTGGGAGCCGCAGGGGCCTCTGCCATTAGCCCTTTGTCTGCCTGCACAGGTGCAGAATGATAGATCTCCATCCATAGACACTACTCTGCATTTCCCTGTTCATCAGTCTTTGCACTTTCTCATACTTCTGATGTTCTTTGTTTCAAAACCATACAACTGGCCCATTCATGAGAGGGTGAGTGTAATCCTCTTTGTCATATGATTAATGTTAACTTTTTTTTTTTTAATTAAAAAACATTCCACAGAGAGAGGCTGCTCACCCAACAGATGTCTCCATCTCCAAAACAGCCTTGTACTCCCGCATCGGGACCACCGAGGTGGAGAAGCCTGCGAGCCTTCTGTTCCAGCAGCCCAACCTGGACTCCACCCTCCAGATTGCCAGAGCAGAGGTACTGTGGCATGTGGCGTGACCACCCTCTTCCTGCCACTTATTAATAAACACATATGCTCACAGTCCACAAAGCCAGTGTCTTTGGAGACAGGCTTGGTCCTCTGAATGCTGCAGGCAAAGGTGTGTGGCAGACGGTGGGTTTTGATCTTCCTGACACTGTGTGCAATGGGCCTTTTGGGCCTTGTTGAATTTGTAACAAAAAGCATGCCTCTTTCAGCTGCTCCCCAGTGGGCACTGTGAAAGTCTGATATCTGACTTCTTTCTTTTTCATGCTCAGGGAAGTTCTCTGAATGTAATTATCATTTGTTGTAGGAAGTTTTCATTCCCCATTTATTCACTGTCTCCTTTTCTTGATCTGTGAATTGCTCAAAGCTGAATTCACTCATCTGGGGCTAACCTTTCTCTTCTTCTCCCTGAACTAGATCATAACCAAGGAGAGAGAAGTCTCAGAATGGAAAGATAAATATGAAGAAAGCAGGCGGGAAGTGATGGAAATGAGGTGAGTTGGGGAGCCGAGCCTTGCTCGCACCTGAGGGATGCTTTTACCTGTGGTTTGATGATGAGCGGAGCTGGTGTGGTCCACAGGGTAGCATCTTCTGTAGAAATTCTCTCTCCTTCATTACACATGGTTCCTATTTTTTTAAAGTATTTTTGCTCTAATACTATTACTAAAATAGCATGCACATGAATTAAAGAATGCATTCAAATAAATACATCTACAATGCAAAACATATCTTCACACTCAGCCTCCCATTCCAAAACCTGCAGGTGACTCTCTTCTGTTTCTGGTGGCTCCTTCCAAGAACTTTCCATTTTTCATCACAAATGTGACAGTGAATCTAAACAGCCTCTTTTTTCTCCAAAACCAAAGAGAGTGCGCAGTATATATTATTCTATACTCTTTTTATTTTATTTATTTATTTTTTTGAGACAGAGTTTCACTCTTTTTGCCCAGGATGGAGTGCAGTGGTGCCATCTTGGCTCACTGCAACCTCCACCCTCGCTGGGTTCAAGCGATTCTCATACCTCAGCCTCCTGGGTAGTGGTGATTACAGGTGTCTGCTTCCACACCTGGCTAATTTTTTGTATTTTTAGTAGAGATAGGGTTTCACCATACTGGCCAGGCTGGTCTTGAACTCCTGACCTCAGGTGATCCACCTGCCTCAGCCTCCCAATATGCTGGGATTACAGGCATGAACCACCATGGCCAGCCCACTCTTTTTAAATTTATCAGCATATCTTGGACATATTTTTTATTCCTCTCTGCCTCATTCTGTTTAGCAAGTGCTTAATAGTTCATTAGACGGATGTAACATAATTAATTGAACCAGTCTCTGTGGACAAACATTTAGGATGTTTCCTGACTTTAGCCTAAATGATTTAATTTCATTTGTGGTATATTGTAATAGAAATATAGTCACCACATATAGTGTACATAAGTACAATGGCGGATACTAGTTGATTATCAGATCAATTGCATTCCTGGCTACCATTTTAAGTAGAAAGCAAGCTTTAGGTAATCATATCCCATTTTCTAGGTCATGGTAAGATCTTCCTGAAACTCTCCTGTTCGTTCCTTCTTTCTGCTGGTGGTTTCCTGTGATCACCTCTGGACATTAAGCTTAGTGTGCTATTTCACATTCAAATGAGAGCCCTGCAGTTGCATTATTTTTAAACCTCTTTGTTTCATCTCTTCTTTTGGGGGCATGGGTGGCTCTAGTTTTTTGCATGCACTGAACATGAAGCATGGCATCCCGGGAAGGCTGGAAGTTCTGTCTCTAATTTCTTTTGCCTCCTGGGAGCTTTGCCTTCTTGGTGCCTGGGGAGTGCTTATTTGTGGTTTGAGAAGTTGTACCTCTGAGGGGCCCCCGGGAGATACCATTTACTAGCTGATGTGGTAGGATTTCAAGATGTCACCAGCTGGCGCAGATGTGCCAGCATTTAATGGCCCGAATGTCAGCCCATCAGCCTCTGGAGGTAGACCAGGTGAAAACCAGGCTCTGCTTCCCAGCCACTCCGGGGCGCCTTAACTCTATGCCTCACTTTGCTTATCTTTAAAATGGGGGTAAATAACAGTGCCTCAATGGAGTACAGCAGAAGGATTATGAACAAAGGCTGCAGTGTCTCATGCTTGGATTCACATCTGGGCTCTGCCACTTGGCAGCCCTGGGATCCTGGAAGAATGTCTGGATCACACTTACCCCAGTGTCCTCATCAGTAATGCTGGGAACAGTGAGAGCGCTGCCTCTTAGGGTCATTTTGAGGGTAGAGTGAAAAAACAGCACAGCTAAGGTATTTTCAGGTCCCTGGTCTCTCCGTGCTTCCTGAAGAACACATCCCTTACCTCCTTGTGTCCTCAGCAGTGATGGGGTTAGACAGGGGAGCCTCAACGATCTATCACAGTCTTGTGATTGTGAGATGCAAGGAGGTGTTGTTTCATTACAGAAAACACAGCAGTGCTTCTGTGTAGGATTCGAAACGAACCCTCAGGGGCTCATCTCCTGTTTACCTTTCTTGGGAGTCCATCCTGGGGTGAGACACTGACCTTAGGACCAAGGTCAAGCAGCCAAGGACAGCACCCAGCATTAAACCCTGCAGTGTGCATTCTGCCTTCATCATCCCTTTCACCCTCATTGAATTTCCCATACAGCCCTGAAAGTCGGGGTCTAGGAAAATCCTTACTGTACCAAGGAGTAAGCAGAGCACCCGCAGCTTCTATGAATGTCATGCTCAGGGTCACACAGCTGGAAGGCACAAGGCCAGTGGGAGCCCAGGCCTTCTGACCGGGGGGTCTCTGTGGTCTTCTGTCGTTAGGGTCCTGGATCTTCAGCAGTTACCCGTCCTTGGTTCTCCTGTGGGGACTAATTGCTGGGTAATGTAGGTGAATCCCTGATTCTTTTTGAGAAGTTTCTTCTAGCAGATTGGTTTTCTTTACACATGGGTCCTTTCACCTGGGGACAGCTCAGAGGCAGTATGACAAGCAGGGGATCTTAATGCTTTGTGCAGCGACTGTTTATTGAAGCTTCCCAAGAAGTTTACTCTGGGTCTGTAGGAGATAAGACTTGTGTTCAATGATGCCAGATGCATGAGATGCTTTGGAGAAAGATACAGATAAAAGGTGACAGGATTCCAAGGAGAAATCAAGGAAGGCTTCCTGAAGGAGACAGCATTTCAGTTGGACCTTGAGAAACAGACTGTGAGGGGTAGAAATAGAGAGAGGGAAAGTGAACAATGTGGGCAGAGGCATGGGGATGAGAAGCCGAGAGCAAACAAGAAATCATTTGTTCTCATTGAGCCACCATGTTCATGACATGGTGTGGAAGGAGGTAAGATGGATGAGGGAGGTTGGGCCCAGACTGCAAAGACCTCAATTATCAGACTGAAGGTTTGGCTTTATTTTCAATCGTCAAATTTGTTTGGGAGTTGGAATCTCACTCTGTTGCCCATGCTGGAGTGCAGTGGCTCGGCCATAGCTCACTGCAGCCCCAGACTCCGGGGCTCAAGACCCCCCCACTTTAGTCCCTTGAATAGCTAGGACCACAGACGTGCACGATCACACCTGGTTAATTCTTGTATTTTTTGTAGGGACGGTGTTTCACCATGTTGCCCAGGCTGGTCTCAAACTCATAGACTCAAGCGAACCTTCTGCCTTAGCCTCTTGAGTAGCTAGGACTACACGTGCTCACCACCATGCCTCATGAATTTTTTTTCATTTTGTATAGGCAGGATCTGTTGCCCAAGGTAGTCTCAAACTCCTAGCCTTAAATAATCCACCCTAGCCTTCTCAGTACCTGGAACTACAGGCATGCCCCACTCTGCCTGGTATTATTTTTTTCTTAGTGGGCAGTGAGGAGTGTTGAAGGCTTTGCATAAGAGAGGGGCATATTTAGAGTCAGGCACCAGGAGAATGAGTGTGCAGGGTGAGGGCCAGCCTTGAAGGTGGCCCAGGAAGTTGGGGCCCCACTGGACACGGGTCAGGCTGTGGCGTCCCGCTGTGTGAGATGGAAAAGAATTCTGTTGTCATGACTCCATGTCTTTACTTCTCTTGCAGGAAAATAGTGGCCGAGTATGAGAAGACCATCGCTCAGATGATAGGTAGGTATCCTGACTGTGGGGGTTCAGGCCGGCCCTGACATTTCTGAACTATGAGGGGGCCTGGGAAGTTAGGAGGCTCAGGGTGTGTTTCTGGTAAAGTGTGAAGCCTTTCAGGGAGGGACCAAAGCATTCCAGAAAATATGGCTTTGCCCCAGGACAGAGAGCCTGGGCTTCCTGGAAATGCCCAGGACTGTGCCGTAGCATTATTCACACCTGTGGGAAGTCACGACAGTCACCTGCTGGCCACCATTTGACCCAGCCGAAGACTCTCCACTTTGTGGGGAAGAGATTTCTGTTGGTTGGGTTATTTGGGGGATTTTTTTCTTTTTGCTTATGGGAGAGAATAGGAAACAAATACCTAGACCCTAACTTAGTTTAGACTCAAATGACAAAACACCTGACTCAGCCTTTCCACAAGGACCCAAGGACAAGGACGGTGGACCATGGCGTGATTGTCTGCCCCCTTCCTCCTGTGACTGTGGCAGGTGCTGTTCGCTGACCCCAGCGTTGTTTCTCGCTGAGATTGGACGCTGCCTTGGAATCCTTCTTAACACAGCGCCCCGGCAGCCAGTACTGACAAATTTGCTTTGGCCCACAATGAAAAAAGTCCTCAAGTGATAAGCTACACACGCCTGAGCCTTTTTTTCTTTTCTTTTCTTGCAGAAGTTCTAAGCCCAAGTTTTTACGCTAATGATCACTATTCAGAAATGATATTATGACTGGGGCTGTGGGGTGCTTGTTTATCTATTTATTTACTTGCTTAGGTTCATGATAATCTATTTTTTGTTTGAGATGGGGTCTTGCTATATCGCCCAGGCTGGTCTCAAACTCCTGAGCTTCAGCCATCCTCCTGCCTCGATTGCCCAAAGAGCTGGGATTATAGGCGTGAGCTACCATGCCCAGCACATGATAACCAGCTTTTGTTTTTGTTTTTGGAGACAGAGTCTTGCTCTGTCACCTAGGCTGGAGTGCAGTGGCCCAGTCTTAGCTCACTGCAACCTCCACCTTCCGGGTTCAAGCGTTTCTCCTGCCTCAGCCTCCCAAGTAGCTGGGATTACAGACAACTGCCATCATGCCTGGCTAATTTTTATATTTTTAGTAGAGACGAGGTTTCACCATGTTGGCCAGACTGGTATTGAACTCTTGACCTCAAGTGATCTGCCCACCTCAGCCTCCCAAAGTGTTGGGATTGCAGGCATGAGCCACCCACCTGGCCCGATAACCAGTTTTTAGAAGATCTTTTTCTTCTAAGGATATATGGAGTAAAAACTCCAGGTCACTGCAGACCACACTGTATGTGTGCAAGCTTGACACTGCTAGCACCTGGTCATCAGCCCCAAACAGTTGGATGTATGAGCATGTCACCCCTCCAGCTTGTCCCAAGATAAATACAATAGCAGCCTCAGGAATGGTGAAGAGCCATTAAGTGATTTCCATTCAAAGAAGCTTTAATTGTGATTCATTGTAACAAAGTGCATTTCACTCAGAAAAAAAAAAAAGCCTATTCAGGTTGAGCCTTACGGTGCATGCTTTCTATCAAATGAAACTTCTTTATTAAATTGGTATAAGAATTTATGAACACATATGGATAAGATAAAAAAAAGTGCTGGCAAAAATGGTCAGGCTGAGGGATTTATGTTTTCCTTATGCAGAGTTTAGCAAGTCGAACACAACTTTTTGGCCTCCTGGAGTCTTGGGATGTGAGAACCTCACTAGGCCCTCCATGGCTCATCTGGAAGCATCCCGCTCCATCTCAGAGCCATACACTGTGATTTTTGCCCTTGGTGATGACATTTTGGTAAATGTTGAAATGCGGGGGCAAGGATGTGAGCTTTTGCTCCTGAGAGGAGGCTACCCAAGCCATCTTTTATTGCTCAGCTGGCCAAGTTGATATAAACAGACATTCCCCCTTGAAAATTAAAAGTGGAGAATGTCTCTAGTTGGCATAAATGGCCTGTCCTTGTCATGGCAGAAAGATTACTCAACTCCCACGGTTTTTTCAAAGAATATCTGCAGGTGACAGCAGTGAGGACCTTTTCAATCCTAGGCAGTGTGAGTTCCTTCCAAGCCCTGAAGAGAGTGCCACCTGCCTTCCGCTCACCCTGGCTCCAGGGATTAGGGCCACACATCACCCCCCATCCCCACCCCTGCTCCCAGACCTGACGTGTTTGGCCTGAGGGTCCCTCTCTTCAAGAGCTGTACACACAATCCCTTAGAGCATTTTCCTGTCCTTGGAGTACTCTCTGGGTGGCCCCGTGAGACTCCTCCAGTGTCCCTGGCCAGGAGCAGCATTGCCACACAGAGGGATATCTCACTGTGTGTCCGTTCCCTGTTCCCCATCCCCATTCACCCATTCACTGTCGTCTTTGTCATTCCAAGGCTTTTCTCATGAGAAAGGTGGCGGGCCTACAGTTGCCATTCCTTCAGCCACTGTTGCAGGTCATTGGCCAAGGTCACCATAGATTTCAAGGTCCTTGTGGAAGACAGCAGGGGGCTGAGGCATGGCCGGACTCACTGTAGCTGTGGGCAGGACCTGCCTTCTTTCTGGCATGGTTCGGGTCAGGGTCTCCATGCATGGTAGCACGCCCAGGAGTCCCACCTGGGTTCCATGCTTTTCTTTCCATTTTCACTCACCCAACAAGCATCCCTTGTGAAAGGGGAAACTCGGGCCCAGAGAGATTGGCAGTTCAGGACCACAGTGGAAGTAGTTGTATTTTGAGATTAAACCAGCTCCACTCGACATGCGCTAGCTCTTCCTGGCTCCGCTCCATACAGCTTTCACAGATGCTCCACACCAGGATGACATCAGCCCTGCTGTTGTTATTCATTCGCATCAAACGTTGCTGGAGAGGATATGTCTTTTAAGCTCAGATATTGACTATTTAAAATTCAGAACAAAAAGAGACTTCTGCGCTTTCTGCACCCCAGGTTGTTGCAATTGATTTTTTTCTGCTTTTCTAACAACTGCCCTGATTATCTGTTTTGCTTCCATTTTTCTGTTGCTTCTTGCCCTTTGCTTGCAAAACAAACAGGCAAGCCTGGTAAGTAAATGCTTTCCCCCCTAATCTGACACCTGCCCATCGCAACCCTTTGTTTGTTTGTTTGTTTTTCTATTTTTTTTTTTTTTTTTTTTTTGCTTTGTGTATTGCTGCATTCCCCCCACATGATTTCATAATGTGAAAAAGCCAGAAAAAAAAAAAAAGTCTTCTGGAGCATTGTTTTGTCATTGAGTGCAGGGTGTCTTTTTCCTGATTTGAAGAACCTAACTGCATTTGTCACTTACGAAAGGATTTGTGAAGCATTCTTGCCTCCTGGGACAGGGGTAATTCTATTTTTAAAAGGGTTAGGTCGAGAGGAAAGGAAACCTGAGGCAGGCAAAGTCTTGGATCCAGGAAATCAGATGGACTTGGTTTGGTAAATGGCTCCTTTCCCAAGTCAAGTGAAACATACACATGGGCTCAAATCAGCCCAGACTGTCCACCATACAGCATGCTGGGAACTGAGGAAGCAGCCAAAATTCAAAGAATAAAAACAAGCATTTGATTACTGGAGACATTTTGAAAGGCCTTTTCTTTTTTTTTTTTTTT